ATATATATATATATATATATATATATATATATATCAAAATCCAACCTGCTCTACATGAAGCTGAAATTTTTGAGGACTTTGATGCGTATAAGTTTAACATTAGGGATAAATGTGTATAAAATATTTATACTAAATTTTTCGATATACACAAATTGTACATTTGTCTTCAACTTTTATTAACTCTTACAAATTAGTGCTCAACCTTCAGAATTGTACGTTTGAGTTTCTACCTTTAGCTTGTTTGGTGTACTTAGTCCTTTTTGCTGTTTCCCTATGCTTTGATTTAAAGCTCATTTGGCATGATGTTTACTTTTGTTTTTATTTGTATTCTCTGTAGAAGAGTTTTTAAAAAAAGTTATCTTAATTTTTATTTGAAAATTAATTTTTAAAAGAAATTTCTATTTCGAAAGTGCTTTTAGAAGAAGCAATGTTAGATCAATTTCCTCTAAAAATTCTTCTAAATACCTATAAAATTAATCAAACGGATTTATAAGCAATATTTGGATCTCAAAACCCCATTTGACTTTTCAAAAATCATATCAGACAGACCTAAATCAATATTCAAAAGGCCCTCTACCCTTGGGTAGGGATGAAGCTTTTTCGAAAACCCCCGCATATGAACAAGATTGAAAATTTCTGGCCAACTTTTCTTTCAACCGTTTAACGTGAATTTTATTAATTTTATTTAGAGCCATTTGTGATCATAAGTACTAAGGCTCCATTTGGTAGGGATTTTTTGCTCCAAAAAATTGATTTTTTGACCGTTATTTTACTATTCAAGCCGTAATTTTTGACTTCTTCTCTCAGATGTGGATCCCACTTTTCTTATAACAGTCAAAAAATCAATTCTCAAAATCCCTACAAAACGGGCCCTAAATTAATATGAACAGTTTCTTGAGGCCATTTAACTAAAAAAGGGTCTCATGCTTTCGTTAGTGGAAATTACACAAAGGATTATTTTTAAAGTTTGTATTTTGTATTTTCCTATCCTTATTCTTCCACTTCACATCATTCTTTCATCAAGAAACACATGCATGAATTAAGACAATTTCTTTATTAGTTTTCCAAAAAGGTACTTGACTTGGAATAGAGTTAGGAAATGGTGGAGTAGAGAGAGAAGAGAATGTGTAAATGTGATGGGATTTTTTAATTATAATTATCTATGTAAAAAAGTATACAACAAGTATGGAATTAATTATATTGTTAACACGAGTTTCATTTGTTATATCATATTTTTCATACAAAAATATTGTTTAGATGGTGTAAAACTACTTATTTGCAATTTGTACTAAATATTTGCTTCATTTTTTAAAGAATACTAACATAACTTTTGAGCGAAACCATGATCAAGAACAATATGTGCTGATGAATAGAACGTATAAGAATGTAATGAAGGAGGTCGTAGATATAAATAAGACGATTAGTAAAAGTTAGAGTCCTTTAATGTAATTAAAATATGATGTTAATGTATTTCCCTCTTAAATTATTTTTATTTACTAATATAATGATAGTTATTAAAATCGGATCAGACCGGATCAATTGTTCCAACCCAAGAATCGGCAAACCACATAGTGAATTGGATACGAATCAAGTTAAGAACTGCTCAAATCGGATAGGTTCGGAGAAAATCTGATTCAATTCAGTTCAAACCGATTAGTGTTGGAGACAAAATTTTTATCTCACTTTTGCAATTGGAAAGATTCAAACTATGCTCCCCAATTGATTTAATTTTTTAATTAAAATTCGATCTTGCACTTACCTAATGGTTGAATAACTAACCTGATAAGTTATTTAGGTCAATGATCAGATCGAATATGATAACTATGAACACAATCGTAAGTTAAATTCAATTATCACGGACCATACCATCATGATCCCCAATCTCAATGAATGATGATACTTGTTCTTATTGGGGATTATCCCTTGTATGCAGCCAATGATGTAGAGTGAAATGAAAAGATCAATTAAATATATATAGATATGAGACTAACTTTTTGGCTTATCATTCAATATCATATCAATCTCAAAAAGTCAAAATCATAGAACTACACAAAACTAGCCAAATAGCAAGTAAAATATAGAAGTGCAATGGAAAATAATAGCCAAACTACCACGACGCTTTGTCCGAATTGAATATTCTATTGGATTGTGTGTTCATATAATATATTTTACTGTGACAAAATAATATTTATAATAAATTACTTCATTTATTAATTGCATTTATTTAATATTGAACATACTATTTAAAGTGTCAAAGATCATTTGTAATATAGAAAGTTTGGTGCTTGCATTAAGAAGTATAGTATAACACAACTTATATTTTGATTATAAGTATTTGATAAATATTTGTTTACAATCATGGTATAAAGATTGTCACCTTGTATGGAGGTTGTAGAAGATGACGATTATTTGTTCACTATTTGAGTTTACCATTTGTCCTTATCACAAAAATAATTAAAAAGCAACACTATTACACACTCGGAAGTATATTAAATGGATCATGTGTTCAATTTAATTCCATAAAATGATTGTGCATAAAATTAAGTTTCTCTTGAATGTCATTTTTTTTTTTTTAACAAATCCATTGACAGATTGTTTATTACTTTTTTTTTAAAGTCATTTTTATATTTAATCAAAACGTTGCATTAGAATGACTTTTAATGCATAAAATAATTTTTAATGTATATAAGAATTTTGAGCTTAAATATTCTTTGCTAAATATCAAAGTATTAGTACTTTTACACTTGATCTAAAAAGTATAATATTTTGATCTTGCTTCGAAGTTTGGTTCTTAAAATCTTGAATATGTGACTTCGATCTTGACCTCCTTAATTAGCAATCATCTCAATGACGTCGACTATAGTTGAAAACATGGCAATCAAGTTAATTAAACAACTAAAGTGAGAGCCCCGACGTGTATCACCAGGACGCTGAAGAGTAATTTCTTGATTGAGACTTTGTCCGCTTGATATTTCATCAATACTGAGTGATTCAAGAATTTTCAATCTTTGGTTCTCTCGAATAAGATCACTCCGTTTAGCTGATCCTCCAACAATATTCACCAATCTATGTACTGTAGTGAAGAAAGTTTCAATCTTCGGATTTTTTGTGCCACAGCTACAAGAGCTAATTGAAGTTGATGAGCAAAGCAATGAATATAGTAAGCACTTGGATTTTCTTTCAAAATAAGTGCTTTGAGGCCATTATACTCATTTCGCATGTTATTAGCTCCATCATATCCCTGGCCTCTCAAATTAGATATGCTTAAACTATGTGTTGAGAATAATTGATCAATTGCAGCCTTAAGTGAGGCTGCTGTGGTATTCAAAACATGAATGACACCAATAAAATGTTCCAATATACACCCATTCTTCACATAACGAATGACAACTGACATTTGCTTTTTCACAGAAATGTCTCGAGATTTATCAACTAAAATTGAGAAGAAACTATCACGAATATTTTCGATAATCACATGTAGACATTCAGAAGCAATAGCACTTACAATATCTTTTTGCACTCTTGGTGATGTTAATTTCAAATTTTCAGGTGCATTTGTCAAAGCAACGGCCTTAATCTCAGGATTATGATCACACAACCAATGCAACAGTTCAAGAAAGTTTCCTTGATTGTTTGAATCTTCAGATTCATCATGTCCACGAAATGCCATCCCTTGTCGTAGAAGAAATCGAACACAATCAATTGAAGCATTTAATCGGATTCGATAATTTGTTCGAGCTTGATGCGATTGTTTAACGAGACAAGATCGAATACTTTGTTCTTGATTGTTGAACAATTCATATTTGACCCGAGCTTGATTGTGTGCACTACTTGAAGCCCCAACATGTTTTCTTATATATTCTTTCTTTTTCCAATTTGAAAATCCGCCTTTAACAAATGAACGATCATTTAAACCGAAAAGATAACAATAAAAGCAAAAAACTGCATCCTTTGCTATACTGTATTCCAACCAAGTGGGATGCTCATTATACCACAAAACACAAAATCGTCGGTCTATTTTACCTATTCTTGTGCGTGGAAATATATGATTGCGAGGCTGACAAGGACCTCTTTGCATATATGCTCTTCGAATTACATCTCGAATATTAACATCATAATTCTGTATTGGAACTCTCAATCCAAGATCAGAGGGAAGCTGTGCAACATCAACATCCCCAACATGTCCAACATCTCCAATATCCTCAACATTTCCTCCACTATCCCCAACATCTCCAATATCCTCAACATTTCCAACGTCTCCAATACCCCCAAATCCAACATCAACATCTCCAACATCTCCAATACCCCCAACATCTCCAACATCAACATCAACATCCCCAACATCGTTTTCATCCCTTTTCTTTCGAACATTCCTTTCACCGATATTTTGTTCATCACAGGAAATCGTAGATCTACGCTTAAAGTATTTTTCCATAACTGAAACAAACCAACCAAAAATGAAAAATCAATAAGATTAGAAGTACCTAAATCAGTTTATACTATTTCCTACCTACCAAAAGTCAGACAAAATTTCAATCTTCCCAAATCAATATTATCAATAATCAATTTACATATAAATAAGTAACAAAGCCCTAAATCAGAAAACTGGAAAAGGGTCAATTTCCTAAATCAAAGCCCTAAATCAGAAATCCCTAAATTACATTTATTGGGCAGGAACATGAATCATAATTGATTAATTGAACTGTAAATAAATCCAAATTTAGAAATAGGAACTAACCACACATGACACATAGAGGCAGGCAGGCAGCAGTTACGGTTATTGTCACTTATGGAGAAGAATTCAAAGAAAAAATTTGAGTAAGTGATAAGTCTGTAACTGTAAAGCTTCTAACCTTTAAGTCAGTAGC